AAGAGACAAAAAAAATATATCATGGTTATTTAGTTGCAGGCAACAGAAGCCAACTCTGGTAACAAGCAAAAGGGAAGGGGAAGGATGCAAGGGCTGCTCAGAGAATAGATAATATAATAAATATTAACAGCAATAACGTGGGACTGAAGATACCACATGGTAAGAAAGAGGTAAAACATCTGTCCTTTCTCAAGAAACCAGTTTTTTAAAAAAAGTAAAACAGGTATGACAGGAAGAGTTTGAAGGAGAACAAATGTCTTATTGAGTAGGAGAAGGTTAGAACAGCCCACATTGATTCTGGTTCTTCTTGAACCCTGGCGGTTCAGCTTTTCTTCCACTGATTTTTATCAGTGGAAGCCAAAGAACTTTAACTGATACAAGAGACAGTTGCAATAGCAGGTGCTCAGTAGACGCTTGCTTTTTATCCACGTGGTTTATCAGATGTGAACAGATGAGTTTTTACTCTATCACAGCTCTAAAAGATTTACTGAGAAAAACATCCTTAAAGAAAAGGCTGTCAAAGAAAATTCTAATGGCAATATTTATTAATAATACTTAAAAGATCAAACTCCATAGCTGGTAAGATAAAGCAAAGGGGAAGTAAAGAAACTTTTGCTGGGATGTTTTAGCTTGATATATTTATGTCAGCATACAAATGAGTGATTCAACTTACTAGTTACTGAGGAATATTACAAAGCAAAAGCAGTGTGGTTCTGGTGTAGGAATAGATAAATGGAACAGAGAGAGAGCTCAGAAATAGATCTGTGTGCATATGGGAATTTGATATACAATAAATGTGATAAAAAATGGAAAAGAATGCCTTGTTTGGAATATAGTATTGGGGAAACTGGCTTATCATCTGGAGAAAAAGCTGGACTTTTACATTACACTATACAAAGATGAACTCTAAATGAATTAAAGACTTAAATGAGACAGGTGAATATTCAGAACCAGTAGAAGAAAATAAAGAATATCTTTGTGAAGTTTCTTAAACCATTGAAGTACAAACAATAAGTGAAAAATTGATGATTTAGCTACATTAATGTTAAGGCATTTTTGTTCAGCAAAAGATACCAAAAACAAAGTTAACAGACAAGGAGAAGATAGTTGCAGCATCAAAAACAAACAGAGGATAATATTTAGATCAGTGCTGTCCACTAGAAATAAAATGTGTGTCACATAGGTAATTTAAAATTTTTAGTCACATTAAAAAGTAAAACCATTCTGGCCAGGCATAGTGGCTCATGCCTGTAATCCTAACACTTCAGGAGGCTGAGGTGGGTGGATTGCTTGGGCTCAGTTCAAGACCAGCCTAGGCAACATGGTGAAACCTTGTCTCTACAAAAAATACACACACACACACACACACACACACGCACACAAAATTAGCCAGTCATGGTGGTTCACACCTGTAGTCCAAGATACTTGGGTGCACTGAGACTGGAGGATCACTTGAGCCTAAGAGGCAGAGATTGCAGTGAGCTGAGATAGCACCACTGTACTCCAGCCTTGGCAACAGAGTGATAACCTGTCTAAAAAAAAAAAAAAAGAAAAAGAAAGAAAGAGAGAAATGCATAAAGTCACTGTTGCCGATTTTTATTAGGAAGTTTCAATTTCAACATAAATTGTTGTTCTTGTCTGACTAAATCACAAATAAACTCTTCCTTTTTGGAGTTTAAAATTTAGCTTGTTCATATGTAGTGTGATCTCTGTGAGAAAATATAAATCACATTGTAATTTTGTCTTTGATTATTGAATATTCCTTCCAATTCAGGAACATATTACATTGGAGTTAAAGTACTTTCTAAAAGTTCTTCCACAACTCTATCAATGAGCACAGGCAGAGAACACAAGATTACTAAACTCAGTGTCTTCTGTTTCTTTCAACAGTTCCATAACTTTTCAATGATTTATAACATTAGTGTATAGATACTAAATGACATTGATTGATTGATTGACAGTCTTGCTGTGTCACCCAGATTGGAGTGAAGTGATGCAATCTCAGCTCACTACAACCTCTGTTTTCCAGGTTCAAGTGATTCTTCTGCCTCAGCCTCCTGAGTAGCTGGGATTACAAGCACCTGCCACCACACCTGGCTAATTTTTGTATTTTTAGTAGAGATCAAGTTTCACCATGTTGGCCAGGTTGACCTTGAACACCTGACTTCAGATGACCTGCCTGCCTTGGCCTCCCAAAGTGTGGGATTACAGCTGTGAGCCACCACACATGGGCCTAAATGACTTTTAAGTAATTGTATACCATAACACTTTTCATAGAGTGTGCTTTTAAAAACTCAGCACAAGGATTTTCAACATATATCATACAGTGGAATAAAGCCATAAATGAAATAACCATTGTCTTGTCTTACCATTGTCTGGTCTTGTCCACCACACCTGGCTGACATTGTCCTTTATATCACGTCACACATTTAACGCTACAAACAATTACTTGTAATTTTTTGAATTGTTAACCAATTGATCTTTGACACTGTGTTGTTAGAAAGTTCTTGTAATCTATGGGTCATTGTTTAATGGCTTAGCATTCTTGTCTTACCGTTCCAATAAATACGGATTTTTACCTAACGTAGATGGGCAACCATCTGTCATAATAGGCATGAATTCTTCTTTGATCGTTATAAAAGATGAAAAACTCCATATATTTAGGTACTTTTTTTCTAATTTAATAAAAATTAAGAATTTTGAAAGTACTTTGAGACATAAATATACCCAAAGTATTAATAGACATTGTCATTTTTTTGAGATGGAGTCTCACTCTGTTGCCCAGGCTGGAGTGCAGTGGTACAATCTTGGCTCACTGCAATCTCCACCTGCCTCCCAGGTTCAAGTGATTCTCCTGCTTCAGCCTCCTGAGTAGCTAGGATTGCAGGTGCCTACCATCATGCCTGGCTATTTTTTTTTTTTTTTTTTTTTTGTAGAGGCAGGGTTTCACCATGTTAGCCAGGCTGGTCTCAAACTTGTGACCGAAGGTGACCCACCTGCCTCGGCCTCCCAAAGTGCAGGTAATACACGTGTGAGCCACTGCACTTGGCCAACATTGTCTCTTACATCACATCATCCATTTAAAGCTAAAGAAAAGTACTTGTAATTTTTTGAATTGTTAATCAATTGATCTTTGACACTGTATAGTTAGAAAGTTCTTGTAATCTATGGACCATTGTTTAATGGCTTAGTTGAAGATCGTTCACTTTTTGTAAAATATCTTTAGTCTTTTTCTCACAATTTTCTAGCAAAATTTTTACAACTGAAATAATTTGTTTTACTATCTAATTAAAAATGACTTTCATTTTTCATCCCTCCCTTCCCTCTCCCTCCTTTCCTTCCTTTCTTCTCTTTTTCCCACCCTCCTTTCTTTCTGCAAGAATCCAACACTTTTTTTTATTGAGATAGTCTCACTCAGTCGTCCAGGCTGGAGTGCAATGGCATGATCTCGGCTCACTGCAACCTCAGCCTCCCAGGTTCAAGCGATTCTCCTGCCTCAGTCTCCTGAGTAGCTGGGATTACAGGTGGGCACCACCACAGCTGGCTAATTTTTGTATTTTTGGTAAAGACAGGGTTTCATCATGTTGGTCAGGCTGGTCTCGAACTTCTGACCTCATGATCCACCCACCTTGGCTTCCCAAAGTGCTGGGATTACAGGCATGAACCACTGTGCCTGATCCAACACATTATTTAGTTGGCTAACATTACAAGCTCAGGGTCCAGGTGCCTGACCAACATAACAAAATCCCATCTCTACCAAAAAATACAAAAAACTAACCAGGCGTGGTGGCGCACACCTGTAGTTCCCAGCTACTCAGGAGGCTGAGGCATAAGAATCACTTGAACCTGGGAGGCAGAGGTTTCAGTGAGTCAAGATCATGCCACTGCATTCCAGCCTGGACAACACAGCAAGACTCCATCTCAAAAAAATAAATAAAATAAAATTATAGTCTGGGCGTGGTGGCTCATGCCTGTAATCCCAGCACATTGGGAGGCCAAGGCGGTGGATCATGAGGTCAGGAGTTCAAGACCAGCCTGACCAACATGATGAAACCCCATTGCTACTAAAAATATAGAAAAAAAAATTAGCCAGGCATGGTGGCTCATGCCTGTGATCCCAGCTACTCAGGAGGCTGAGGCAAGAGAATCCCTTGAACCTGGGAAACAGAGGTTGCAGTAAGCTGAGATCACGCCATTGCACTCCAGCCTGGATGACTGAGCAAGACTCTGTCTCAAAAAAAAATTAAAATCTCAGATCCTGTTAAAAACCATTAAGTGTAGCTCAGCATGGTGGCTCACGCCTGTAATCCTAGCACTTTGGGAGGCTGAGGCAGGCAGATCATGAGGTCAGGAGTTTGAGACTAGCCTGACCAACACGGTGAAACCCTACCTCTACTAAAAATACAAAAAAAATTAGCCGGGCGCGGTGGCGCATGCCTGTAGTCTCAGCTACCCAGGAGGCTGAGGCAGGAGAATCGCTTGAACCCAGGAGGCAGAGATTAGAGTGAGCTGAGATCCCACCACTGCACTTCAGCCTGGGTGACAGAGGGAGACTCGTCTCAAAACAAACTAACAAACAACAACAACAACAAAAATTCAGGATTTTTTGGTCGTATATTCAACTCCTATTGTGAACTACAATTTTGATTCTCTTTTGACTTCCAAGAGGAAATTTCATATCAAATTCATTATGTTTTTACTTAAAATGTCTCTTAATATTGTCTAATTTATTGCTGAAAATATTTTTTACACAAAATAGCTTTTTTCGTTTTGCTGTGTTGCAGCAAATTGCAGTTTCCATTCATTGTAGAATTTGTGACGTGCTTTTTTTCAGTCCTTTTTTCTGAATGGCCCATTTGTAGTCCTGGTTTCTGTATCTCTGCTTTATTCTGCATTAGTGGTATGCATTTATTTTATGTTTAAATTTGGTTCACTTTTAAGCTAGAAAATGATTTTATCATAGTTACAATACTAGGTATTGAAATTTAATTTCTTCTCAGACAAAGGAAACTAAGAGAATTACCAGTCAACCTACCTTTAAAGAATGACTAAGGATATTCCTCAAAGGAAATAAAGCAGGCACAGAACTTCAGAACGAAAGAACAATGGAATGAACAAAAATAGGGTAACTATAACAGACTATGTTTTACCTCTTGAGTTTTAAAAATCATGTTTAATGGTTCAAATTTGTTTCCTATTGCTGCTGTAACAAGTAACTGCAAACCCAATGGCTTAAGCAATACAAATAAATTACCTGATAGTTCTAGAGATCAGAAGTACAAAATGAGTCTCACTAGGCTAAAATCAAGGTGTCCGCAGGGCTGCCTGCCTTCTGAAGACTCTAGGGCAGAATCCATTTCCTTGTCTTTCCCATCCTTGAGAGGACATCTGATTTTCTTGGCTAATGGCACTTTTCTTCTATCTTCAAAGCCAGCAATGTTGGTGAGTCCTTCTCATGATCACACTGCTACCTCTCTGGTTTTCTTTTTTGCCTCACTCTCCCTCATTTGTATATGTATTTCAGTATGTATGTATATATGTATATTTGTGTGAGATGGGGTCTTGCTATATTGTCCAGGCTGGCCTGGAACTCCTCAGCTCAAGCAATCCCCTCACCTCATCCTCCCCTGTAGCTGGGACTCTGGGCATAGGACTCGCTGCTCTTCCACTTTTAAGAATCCTTATGACTGTATTGGGTTCCCCTCGATAGTATAGAATAATCTCTCTATTTTAAAGTCAGCTGATTAGCGGCCCTAATTCCACATGCTACCTTACTTCCCCTTTGCCATATAACCTATAACTGTTTTGGGGGATTAGGATGTGGACATCTTTGAGGGTAGCATTATTCTGCCCATCACAGGATTAAAAAATGACAATACCAATCACATGTGGTATTCAATGTATGCAGAGAAAATACTTGAGGCATTACATTTAAGAGGTGGGGAGAAATAAATTGCTAGGGAATTATGCTGAATAGAAAAGGCCACCTAAAGGTTGTATACTATATGGTTTCATTTTTCTAGCATTTTGAAATGATGAAATTTTAGAAATGAAGATATATTGCCAGGACAAATGGCTACCAGAGAGTGGGGGTGGGGGAGGCAGGAGGATGTGGTTATGAGAACAACACAGAGGATCTTTGTGTTTTGGAACTGTTGGATATCTTGACTGCAGCATTGGGTACATGACCTACATAGGTGATAACACTGTACAAAAAATACACAAACACATAATAAAAATGAAAAAAGAAACAATATATAAACACACAGAGACACATAAATGAATACTAGTAAAATTAGGACATGTGAATATAATCAGTAGCTTGCATCAGTTTCAATATCCTGTCAATATGTACCCAGAGCCTTTTTATAATTATTTAATAATTTCTGAAGGGATGGGAAGTAATGGATTTAATTTGTACATTATTCTAAGTTTCTCTGCAGACTGTACGATATTTTAGGATATTAGTCATCTTGTTGGTCTAGAATTTTAAAAAGTGGTTGGCAGTGGTAGGAGAGAGGTGGATGTAGGATAAAAGGCATAAGGTGGGCTCCCTGTCATGTTGGAACTGTTCAGCATCTTGACTGTGGCGATGGATACACAAACCTGCACAGAAGATATAAATATATGGAACTTGGCTGGGTGTGGTGGCTCATGCCTGTAATCCAAGCACTTTGGGAGGCCCAAGTGGATGGATCACCTGAGGTCAGGAGTTCGAGACCAGCCTGGCCAACATGGTGAAACTCTGTCTCTACTAAAAATACAAACATGAGCCGGGCATGGTGACACATGCCTGTAATCTCAGTTACTCCATAGGCTGAGGCAGGAGAATAGCTTGAACTTGGGAGGTGGAGATTGCAGTGACCAGAGATTGTGCCACTGCACTCCAGCCTGGGCAACAGAGGGAGATTCTGTCTCAATAAATAAATAAATAAATAACCACAAAAATGTGTATATATATATGGAACTTAGTACATCACATGCACGCAAATGACTCCAATGGGAAACTCTGAATATGATCTGTGGATTGTATCAGTGTCAGTATCCTAGTTATGCTGTTATGATACAGTTTTTTAAAGTTTTACCATTGAGGAAAACTGGAATCAGCATATAAGGAATCTCTCTCTATTATTTATTACAACTGCATGTGAATCTACAGTTATCTCAACAAACATTTCAATTAAAAAGTGAGAGAGTGCAGGGACCTAACAGAAGTAAGGTTTCTACGCCCAATGTGGTAAAATGTCAACGCTGTTAGACTATGATAAACGATGCAAGTATATTGTAATATTGAGGGAAACTTAAGAAAACTATTCCAAGAAATACACTCAAAAAACTATAAAGTCAAAATGTAATTCTAAAACATTTTCAAATGATTCACAGAAGGTTGAGAAAGGGGAAACAAATGAAAAACAAAGGGAAAAAACAGTAAACAAATGATAAAATAGCCAACTTAAGCTCAGCATATCAATCATTACTTTCTATATAACTAATCTAAATATGCCAATTAAAGGGTAGCGATTGGCAGGGTGCATAAATTTGTCATTGATGGTTTAAGTGGATATCGCTATAATTGTTGCTGTTTGCATAAAATATTCAAATAAACACATTACAGTGTTACATAGTTCATAGAAAAAAGTCATTCAAACCATATCAGTCCATTGACACTGGCTACATTAGTGATGTATTTATGTGTAATATAAGAAATAATGTATGAACCTAAAATGTGCACTAGTAAAACAATAACAATATCTTAAAATGATATAACAGTTAAAGTAAAGCATGCATTTACCAAAATGCTGCTTCAATTTTAAATTAAATGGAATGAAATGAAAAATTCATTTCTAGCCACATTTCAAGTGCTCAATAGTTATAAACCCTGTGTAGACATAGAAATCCCATATAGCAAAAACAACCCCAAATTAAAAAAAAAAAATGTATATAGCATGTTAATAGGTAATTCAGTGACAGAGACATTCACTAGTAATCTGAAAGTTAAAAATTCTATATTGGTTCTGAAAACTTTTACCCTTAAGTAATACATATCAATTCAACGCACATTTCCTCCACCAAAGAGGTGTCTTCGTCACAGTTATCATCAAGGGGAAAGTAAATAACCAGGAAGTGCAGTCCTACTCTGTGCTGAGCAAAAGGTCTGGAAATGTTTGGAAAATAGTATTTTTTCTACATAAGCCACATATGAATATTTTTTGTTATATTTGTGAAGTGGAGAATTAAAAGCAATCTAGCTGTCTCTCACCAGGTTGGCACTTTTAATTTATATTAATTATTACTACCATTCATTGAGAGCTTCTTTTGTGACTTACTGTCCTAAGGTGTTGCATTTAAAAAATATTTTATTTTTTGAGATGGAGTTTGACTTTTGTTACCCAGGCTGGAGTACAATTGTGGGATCTCGGATCACTGCAATATCTGCCTCCTCCGCGGTTCAAGTGATTTCCCACCTCAGCCTCCCAAGTAGCTGGAATTACAGTTAATTTTTGCATCTTTAGTAGAGACAGGGTTTCACCATGTTTTTGCCAGGTTAGTCTCGGAACTCCTGGCCTCAGGTGATCCCCTGACCTCAGCCTCCCAAAGTGCTGGGATTACAGGCGCGAGCCACAGCGACTGGCCTGAAAATGTTTTTATTCTTCCCTCCTGCGCATTTGACAGTTAGGCTGAATATAGAACTGCAGTAGAAATGCTTTAACTTAAGAATTTTTATTGTTGTTGTTTTAAAGACAGTGTTGCAATTGCCAAACAGATTCTTTCTGTCCACTGCACAGACAAAATCAATTCACTGAGACCACAGCATTGCAGTAGCATTTCATTGACATGAGGCTGGCCCATGCAGGAGAAATAGATCACTAAGTGATCACTCAAATTAGCTACCCTGAAGGCTTGAAGGCTATGGTTTTTATGATCAATTTGGTGGGGGTCTAGGGAGTGGTCCTGCTGATTTGTTGGAGATGAAATCATAGGAGTGTGGAGAATGGTCCTTGTGTACTGAATCAGCTTCTGGGTGAGGTTACAGGATTAGTTGAGTCCTGAGTCATGAGTGTGGGTGGAGATAGTCTGAAAAATATTGCAAAAAATAATAAATAATTTTAGGTTTTACAATAGTGATGTTATCTTGAAGAGCAATTGGAGAACTTACAAATCTGGTGAACTCTGGCCACATGATCCCCCAAGGGATTATAGAAACTACTCCTATATTTTAGCAGAGTTCAGCCTCCTCCCATAATCCTAATCCTGTGGTTTTACATTAGTTTTACAAAGACGGTTTTCAGTCCCTGAGCAAGAAAGGGCTTAGTGTTTATTTTTATTTTATTTTATTTTTTTGAGACAGAGTCTTGCTCTGTCGCCCAGGCTAGATTAGAGTACAATGGCAGGATCTTGGCTCACTACAATCTCCGCCTCCTGGGTTCAAGTGATTCTCCTGCCTCAACCTCCTGAGTGGCTGGGATTACAGGTGTGCCCCACCACACCCAGCTAGTTTTTGTATTTTTAGTAGAGATGGGGTATCACCATGTTGGTCAGGCTGATCTTGAACTCCTGACCTCATAATCTGCCTGCCTCAGCCTCCCAAAGTGCTGGGATTATAGGCAGGAGCCATCACACTTGGCCTCTCTGAGGTTATTAAGAATAGCTTTGTTCAGCCAGGCACGGTGGCCCACTTTGGGAGCCAAGGTGGGTAAATTGCTTGAGCTCAGGAGTTTGACACCAGCCTGGGCAATATGACGAGACCCTGTCTCCACTAAAAATACAGAAGTTGAGGGTAGGGGGATAGGGAAGGGAGTGTATTAAGACAAATACCGAATGCACGAGGGGCTTAAAACCTAGATGATGGTTTGACAGGTGCAGCAAACCACCATGGCACATGTATGCCTATGTAACAAACTTGCCGTCCAGCACATGTATCCCACAACTTAAAGTAAAATTTAAAAAACTATAAAAATTAGCTGGTGGCCAGGTGCAATGGCTCACACCTGTAATCCCAGCACTTTGGGAGGCCTAGGTGGGCACATCACCTGAAGTCAGGAGTTCGAGACCAGCCTGATCAACATGGTGAACCCCCATCTCTACTAAAAATATAAAAATTAGCCAGGTGTGGTGGCAGACACC